TTGCGAAACACAAAGAAAAACATCTAAAATGTGTGCGAATTTGCAAGTTTTTGGGTTGTTTTTATTTTCCGTGCTCAGGCTGACGTAAGCGACCGGAAGCGAAATTTCACCTCCTTAGCAACGCGCGCGAGCGCGCGCATGAATCGGTTAATGGGCCCTTAATTATTTGGAAAAGCTGGCGATTTGAGCGTTAGGTCTTCGTTAAACTGCGACTAGGTTCACCTTTGAGTCACACGCGCGAGGGGCGAAGACTGAAAGCGATCGCGCTTCGCCGCTCGATTTCGCGCTCGCGGAGTACGTTTTTGCTCCACAACGTGAGCCTGCTCGCAGGCTAGGTCTTCGTCGGATCACACACGAAGTGTTTCCCTTGCGTGGCGACTCAGCATAACGGTGTCGTTGTGATAGAAGCTCCAAGAGAAAGCTGATCGAGGGAGCGGTTTGCATGACAGGAAAAGCCGTTGTTCGAGATAAACTAGAGGGTCCTTTGATTTTTTATCTACTGTTTCAAGCCGCTGAAGCAGGCTATAAACTGGTTGCTTTTAGAGGCTGATATGATCGGGGAGATTTTGGGGAATCTTCCTTGAAGATATGTAGTCCCAAGAATCGAGTTTGTTACTGAAACATTCCTTTCTCCATCGGGGTTTTCTTGGCGTTGCTTTGAAGATAGCGGCTAGTTCTTTTAAGAGAAGCCGTTGTCTTAGAAAGAAATTTATTTTTGGTGAGTATTGATTTTTCATCGCGTCATACGGTACTATAGAACGTTTGCTTCGTTGCGCCTTCGAGTCTCTATGGGCAACTTTATGAAAAAGTTTATGACTAATATTCGGCTAAAACGTAGGTACGCATAATCAGGTTTGATTTCTTCATAAATTGACATCCATTGCCCAATTTTTCTAAATTACTTGGCAATTTAAAGCGCGGTATTTCTATTTCTTTCGACTTATGACTTAAAAAAAAGATATTAACAAATCAACTTGCGCCGGAGAAAAAATGACAGTTATCTTGACAAAGATGACCACTTTGAATAAAACATGCTTCAAACATCCATTACTTTAAGCTGCTACGTAGCAAACATCCGCAGGGTTGCTTTGTACCTTTTGACGTAAGTGCTATCCCATTACAAAAATAATTTCATTAGCAAGAGAACTGAAAAGCTAAATATTTCGAAGCTTAACGGTTTCACGCAAAAGAAAAGTAAAAGCTAGAAAATTCCAAGGAAAATTTTATGAACACGATACGGGGCAATTAACACCGAAAAAAAAGCAATTTCGAAACATCTGTCTATTTGTCTTTCAACTTTCAACTGTACAAACACGATATCTTTGGTGTCTTCAAGGGTTTTTTTGTCCATCTTCACGTTTTTGTCCATCTTCACATAATATTGACAAATGAAGAACTTAAATTAGAACCAACTACCGTGCCTGTGTTTTGAGGTAGGACATAAAATGGCTCGCTCATGTGCGAGCGAACGTAAGAGTTATGAGAATACAATTAACACTTCTCCAAGGCTAGTTTATACACCAATCGAGACATGTTTGTCTGCGAGAGAAATCCTGCTTCCGCCCCGAGAAAAGAAAAGTCAAATAACAAATAGAATAAAATGCGTGGTTGTCTCGAAATAAACAGATCAATACGTGATCTTTTGACGATGGTGTAGGAACCCGTAACAAGAAGGCATAAAATTTCACGTATATAGTGCATAGTCACATTTTCGACCCTGTTAGGAGAAACGTCTTATCGCCAAATCACTTCTCTCAATGGTTGTACTAAAGGAAAGGTTGTACTAAAAAATAGGTAACTTTTCAATTACCTATATTCATACGTTTCAGTCGATTATTTCAATCTATTAATTAATTTGAGCGACTTTAAAATAATTTCAATCGGTGCGTTCATATCTATTTTCATTACAGAACAACACTGAAAAAAAATTCCATCAAAACGAACAAAGTAACGAACAATGAACTCGTTCAAAAACGAAACTTTGCTCGCGCAGCGTAACACTTCTTATTCAGATCCTGGCAACTTGACTTCGGTCCTTCACGCCACTGTGATCATTTTTATAATGGTTGTAATAATTGTTGGAAACGTTCTCGTTCTACTTGTGATTTACCGACAAAGAACCCGAGCGAGTTCGCGCGCGGCCAACATGTTTATCGCCAATCTCGCGGTGGTGGATCTGTCCATTGCATTGTTGCTATTTCCCTTCTCCATGGTCACGATTTTGCTGCAACGATGGGTTCTGGGGGATGCGGCCTGCAAGTTTAATGGCGCTACTAACATGACAGCGGGAGCAGCTTCCATACTCACCATGGCGGTTATAAGCATAGACAGGTATTAAAGAAGCTATTTTTGTTCGTTCTATAGTAAAAAACAGCGTGTAAGAACCTAGTGATTTAAGAACCGGCTGGGAGAAATTTGCCATGTTAAAACCCAAAACTCTCAGAACCTGTCTAGCCAAGTAAGATCAAGCAGGTTCTTATATATGGCAACTGTTATAGAGTTATAGAGGCAACACTATATAGACCTATATATACATGCTGTAACCAGTTGTGTTAGGCTTATCACAATACAGTTGTGAATAAATACTGTATATTTAAGGACCAAACCCAAGTTTATATACTTTTCTGGTAATCAACAACTATATCTCCTTCATAGAAATTAAGAACCTAATTTAAAACCTACTTAGCCTAAATTCCCAATAACTACCCCAAAATACAAGAACCTATTTTGCCAGGTTCTTNCAACACTGAAAAAAAATTCCATCAAAACGAACAAAGTCACGAACAATGAACTCGTTCAAAAACGAAACTTCGCTCGCGCAGCGTAACACTTCTTCAGAACCTGGCAACTTGACTTCAGTCTTTCACGCCACTGTGATCATTTTTATAATGGTTGTAATAATTGTTGGAAACGTTCTCGTTCTACTTGTGATTTACCGACAAAGAACCCGAGCGAGCTCGCGCGCGGCCAACATGTTTATCGCCAATCTCGCGGTGGTGGATTTGTCCATTGCATTATTGCTATTTCCCTTCTCCGTGGTCACGATTTTGCTACAACGGTGGGCTCTGGGGGATGCGGCCTGCCAGTTTAATGGCGCTACTAACGTGACAGCGGGAGCAGCTTCCATTCTCACCATGGCGGTTATAAGCATAGACAGGTATTAAAGAAGAGATTTTTGTTCATTCTACAGTAAAATTCAGCGTGTAAGAACCTAGTGATTTAAGAACCAGCTGGCAGCAATTTGCAATTTTAAACCCAAAACTCTCAGAACCTGTCTAGCCAAGCAAGATCAAGCAGGTTCTTATATGTGGGTGACAGTTAAATTATGAACTCCTGTTATAGAGGCAACACTATATAGACCTATATATACATGCTGTAATCAGTTATGTTAGGCGTATCATAATACAGTTGTGAATAAGTACTGTATATTTAAGGACCAAACCCAAGTTTATATATTTTTCTGGTAATCAACAACTATATCTCCTTCATAGAAATTAAGAACCTAATTTAAAACCTACTTAGCCTAAATTCCCAATAACTACCCCAAAATACAAGAACCTATTTTGCCAGGTTCTTACATACGAATTTTTACTGTAACCCATAAGCAATCCTGGTTAGCTTAACTGAAGGGAGAACTGTGTTTTGAACAGATCTGAGACAGTGCGGCACTCGTTGAAATAACAGTGGAGAGGGTATTGATAGCTAGAATGCTTTTTTTTTTTTTCATCCTCCTCGGAAAAAATTCACTCAACGCGCGTGTTTGCCCGTGGTGACATTTTCCGCGCAAGAACTGAGCACCATGTCTAAAATTAACTTGGGAAGAATTACTTTATAAGTAAGGTCAAAAAGGGAGATTATCTCGCATTCCCTTCATCCTCTTTTTTTTAGTATTCGCTAGAGCTAGTGACAAATCGATCACTCTAGTACATTGCACTTTAACTTGGCAGCCCGCTGGGGAATTTTTTAAAGGGGCTACGTTACGCTGCAAATAAACTCGGGTCATACACCAGTCAAACCAATCAAATGCAAAAACAAGACCAATCACGAGTAAGTCACGTAGTTAAGTGTATGGTTCTAGTAATATATATAGGTTATTGACCAAGTGTAAACTCAAGATGGCTGGATATTGGCCAAGTTAAGTTCTTTTTTTCGTGTTTATGGACCGAGACATGGTCGAGGTCCATAATGCCAATATCCAGCCATCTTGACCGGACAAGCTTGGTCAATAAAGTATTTATTTTATGGAAAAATAACATAAATTTCTTGCGGGACCCGGCGGGTGATCCCGAGCTGGCAAGATAGCGCTAACTTTCCCGTTCGGGTAGCCAATTACAGCGCAGGATTCAGTTTATCTTGCCCGCTCACAGAGCTAGCTATATAATAAAGTTGCTTACTTGTTCTACCCTTTCAGGTATCAAGCTATTGTATCTCCTCCAGGTCACAAGTTGACCCTCAAACAAGCCTGGGTACTACTGACTCTAACATGGGTCTGGTCCATAATCATTGGCGTCCTCCCAGTCCTTGGTTGGAACGAGTACTCCCACACCGCTCTCAACACCATGTGTAAAATTTCCTTCACCGAGGGCCGAGGCTACATTTTGTTGGTAATCGTCACGTGTTTCATGATTCCGCTGTTCGTAATGTTTTACTGCTACTTGCGAATTTTCTTGAAGGTTCGAACCCACAAGAAGCAGATACAACGGTGGAATCACAACTCAGACGCGCAGAGAAATTTTAGGCGCGAAACCAAAACGGCGCAAGTCGTTTTCACGGTGCTTTTTGTTTTCATCGTGTGTTGGAGCCCGTTTGTTCTCGTGCACTTTCTCCAGTCCTTTCCAACTATCAACATTTCACGGGCTGTGTTTCATTCCGTTACTCTTATCGCGGGCTTGCATTCAGCCATTAACCCGATCATTTACACTACAATGAACAGAACATTTCGTAACGAATTGCGCCAAGTCTGCCCGTGCGCGCTATGCGGGCATGTCACGTGCTTTGCAAGAGATAATCTTGTTCGGCCAATCAACCTTGATAGTAGTGTCACGCTACGATCATGAAGAATAAAGTAACGCTGTAGCGTTACATTAGGGTAACGAGACTGTGACGCTGGGTTCGTCAGGAGGGACATACTAACTTTGATAATGAGGTGGAGCGAAACGTTAACGCTATAAAGTTACTATCATAAGGAGCTACTATCATAAGGAGCATAATGTAACTTCAAGAAGTATTCTCGGTAGAAGGTAACGCAACCCTGGACGCTACAAGCGTCAGGAGAATCGTGATGCAAGGCTGTAACGCGGACAACTATGACACCAGTTTGCTGTATTGTAATTTAGTTACTATAAGTAAATCAAGAATCAAAAAAATTTGGCTGTACGTAATGCGCCCATTTGCTTCTTGTCACAGTGTGGCAGGGAAATTTTGTCCAAGAAGTAGCAAACACCTCAAAATTACGATCTAAAGTTTATCACTTGTCACAAACTGAATAAGGTTTTTTTCATTATTCTGCTCACAATAAACGAATGGTTAAATGATGCAGTAATAATTACCGTTTAATGAAAAATTTGAACAACGATGTACAAGCAATATTGAAAGAATTGCAAGAGTTTTAACATCGCCAAAAGGCATTAGGACCTATGTGTTAGCGAACTTGCACTTCAGCACTATAAAGTCATTGTCTCTAAACTAGTTTTCAAAAATAGCTATGTAGCAAATATTATCTTATTTCCATGCAAAAACACTACAATGCTTAATTGTAAATATATTAAAACACGTAAATCTCCCACATCCAGAGTGAAAAGTTACTTATCAAATAGCCGTCCTAGATCATAATGAAACAATGTTAAACACAGGTTATATCAAAGAAATTGCAATAAAATTATTTGCACGCCTCAGAGTGAATAAAACAATTAAACTTCGATATATAGCTATATATAACAGGTATTCAAAAATCTGATAACGATATTCTGCAGCACTCTTGTTGTTCCGTAAACATTCCTTTTTCTGACCTTTGATATCTATACATTTATAGTTTCAAAATGCCTATCGCATCTTGAGCCAATTCCTTAAGATCTGATTTTTTAGCGATTTCCCAGTGACTGTTGTTCACGCAACGACATGTAACTGATGAGAGCAGAGTATGAAGTCTTTTCAGTTAGGCAGTTCATGTCACGCGTGCTTTAAAGTGTGACACTTTTCCCGCGCTTTGCATTGGTGGCATGTTTTGGTTCCGAGTTCTGATTGGTTCATTGTGACATAATTTCCCGCCTTGTTCTCTGCAATGGTTACGTTGCGATGTTAGATTAACGACTGTCATTAGAAAATCGCTCCATTTGTATCCTTGTGTCAATAGGAAAGCTATGAATTAAAGATAGTAGTTTGAATTCCTATCCCAGCTTCTGCTACTGCTGCTGCCGTAACCACTTAGAGGTGTGGTTATTTTGCCCTCAGCTATGGCCAGGTCCTCCGAGACGCTGTGAGTGCTTACCATGCTCGTTACGGTCTTCTGGTTCACTTCGACTTCCTCGCTAAATTTCCGCCCTCCCATAGGACCGCGCGAGGTACTTCTTCGCTCACTCGTTGACTCGCTACGGCTCTCGCTGACTCGTGAACTGGAACGAGCAAGCACAAACGAGGTCATGCCATTTGCCAGCTGATTTCCTTCAAAGGACCTGACAACCACTGGTCCATCTGTGGAGAAAACGTCGTCTGGAACGGGGTCGTCTTCCACGGGCCTCGCTCGCACCTCTATCACTGGTTCTTCAAATGTTGCACTTATATCTCTTTCTGGCCTGATGTATTCTTGTGAGAGAGGGCGTGAAAGGGTGTCAAAACGAGGGCTGCTCTGAGTCACGGGTGCCGATACTTTACGAGACATTGGGGCACCCTCTGTTCGAGGTGATCCAGGCTGGCTTAACGGCTTACTTCCACTTCCAATCTCCATGGCTAGTGTCGAAGTCTTCCTCCCACGTCCTTGAATTTGGACATTATTATCGGACGATTTTCGGCTGCGTCGTACTTCAAAGCTCGTCTCGTATGTGGGTTTGACTTCTGCTCTAGCAATCTCTGATCTGGCTTGGAGGTCCTTCAGCCTTCTTTCGCTTCGCTGTTGATCTTCCTGGGCAATGAACAGTTCCTTTTTCAGTCTTTCGATTTCAAGTTCTAGTGTGACGCATTTCCGGTCCAGCACGCCAATCTTGTCGTCCTTCTCGTCACAGCTCTTCTTCATCAGCTCTAGCTCTGTCTTTAGCGTCCGCAGATCCTTCTCGAACCGGATGATCTGCTCCTGTTTGGTTATGATCTCCCTGTTGGCCTTATCAAGCTGATGCTGTTGGCTGTGACTGTCCTTTGCTGATCTCTGCAGCTCACTCTCTAGTTCGGATATCCTAACTTGGTGGGAGACCAGGTCGCTGTTAGCCTGTTGCAATCCATCAGTACTGTCTTTGTACACCGTCTCCACACTATCGAGTTGCTCTCTCACCGAGCGAAGCTCGTATTGAAGATTGTTCCTTTCTCTTCGCAGTGCATCTTTTTCGCTCTCAATTTCGTCGTATTTCAGCTTGAGTGATTCAATTGCTTCTCGAAGCCCGTCTTCACTTGCATATCTGGATTGCTTCTGTTGACCAAGTTCAAACTTCAGTTGGTCATTTTCTCGTTGAAGCACGTTACATTCGTCTGTCTTGTTCTGCAAATCGCGTCTCAGAGCGTCTAGCTCCTTATCCAAAGTAATGACCCTTGTCCGGAACTGCTCGATAACAGTCTCCTTTTCAATGATTTCTCGTCTGAAGACTTCACTCCTCGTGTGGATCTCAGTTACTTGTCGAGTAACTTCCTTTGAGGCTTCGTCGCTCTTGTTGTGGGATTCAACAAGCTGAAGCTTGAGGCTGTCTTTCTCCCTGCTTGCGTCTGCTAATTGGGACTCTAACCTCCCGATCGTTGAACGGAGCGAGTTGATTTCATATTCCAAGTCGGACCTGTCTTTCTGGCTTGTTTTCTTGTTGTCACCAAGTTCTTCCATTTTCTTTTGCAAGTCAAATATTTTTTGCTCGAGTTGCGAATTCCTATCTCGGCTGCTTTCGTAGCTGGCCTGCAACTCTGAGATTCGCTTCTGGTAAACGATGACTTCTTCTCTCAGCTGTGACGCCTTATCTTCCGCAGCGTTGCATGTAGCCTGGAGCGTTTCCAGTCGCTCGCGTGCTGATCTTAACTCATGCTCTAGAGTTGAATTCTTCTTGTGCGCCTCCAGAACCTCATTTTGCAACTCATTTTCCCGTTCTTTGCTCCTTCGTAAAGCTGCCTCTGACGATGAACTCCATCCACTGGAAGGTGTGTTCCGTCCCTTAAGCAATTGGTAATCCGCCTCTAGTTTCAAGAGCTTCTTTTGAGTATCTTCCAGATCGTCATGGAGAGTGCGCTTTTCATTCTCGGCACTACTTAACTGAGCTTCAAGTTCGACGAGCTTCTTCTGTAATCTGTCAATATCATTTTGTAGTCGATTCCTTTCTGAGATCAGGCTTTGGTTTGTTCCCTCGAGATTGTTAATGGTTTTCTGCATTGACGAGAATTTGTCTTCTAAACGGAGCTTCTCTTGTTCCAGACCTTCACATTTGTCTTTCCATGTCACAATCTTCCGATTCAATCCCGACACCTCACGAGCCAGACGATCGCATTCACCTCGTAAAGCGTCGATTTCAAAGTCGTTTTCTGGTGCAGCGTCAAGAGTGCTTTGGTCCACCACATTTATGCTATTCCTCTGCAGTGTGTTGTAAGTCAACTGGAGTTCAGAGAGCTGTATTTGCAATCCTTGTACTTCAGACTTCAGTCTCTCGTTTTCGTCTTTTAGTAGCGAATACGAAGTATCAAGCTCTGAATTTTGTAGCTGTAGTTTTTGGTTTTCGTACTGCAGCTCTCGTTTGTCGGCTAAGGCTCTCTCTAGATCAGATCTTGTTGTTGTGAGATCCGTTTTAGTGACATTCAATTCACTCAGTAGTGCCTCGTAATCGTCCTTCAAACGATCCGCAGTGTAGGCTTTCTCCGACAGCTCTCGCTGCAATTCATCCACCTCTTGTTGAAGTTCCAGCAACTTCTTTTGAAGCCGGGTAATCTCATCCTTTAGTTCTTCATTACGTGCCCTCATTTCTTCTAATGTACCCCTTAGCTGAGCTTGTCGTTTGAGCTCTTCCTGAAGCTCTTCTTCCAGTGAATGAATCCTGGCTTTAGCTCCTTGAAGGTCTCTTTGAGCATCGTTTTTACTTTGAACGGCTGCATCAAGAGCTGTTTGTAACTCGGAGGTCTTCTTGTAGCTATCCATAAGTTCTCGCTGTTTATCGTCGAGAGCATGTTGGGCGTTGGCTAGGGCAGCTTCAGTTTTTGCTAATACCTCTTGTCCTTCAACCAGGTCATCGTTCAATGCGTGAATCTTATCGTCATATGCTTTGTTAAATGCCTCCAACCGAGCGATTTTGTTTTTAGCAGCTTGTAGTTCTTGCTCCAGCAAAGTGACTTTCTTGTGCCAGGACAAAATCTCGTCTTTCCCAAACTGATCTTTTTCTTCCATGGTCTTTATAACGTCTTCTAATTCTCTGAGGCGGTTGGTACGCCAGCTGACTTCGTACTCTAACGATTCCTTTGCACGGTTGCACTCGCCGAAGTCTTGTTCCATCTTGGAAAGCCTCTTCCTGATCAAATCTAGCTGGTTTTCGGTATCCTCCTTTTCTTGACAAACCTGCTGCAGCTGCGACTGGAGATCGACGAGTTTCTTCTGCAGTGCGGCGTCGCCTTTGATCCTTGCCTTCTCGCTCTCGATGCTGATGTAGCTGCTATGGATTTCTTGATACTTCTTTTGGATAACGTTAAACTCGTTCTGCAGTTTCTTCTTGTCACGATCCAAGGCTTCTACCTTGCCTTTCAGCTCGGCGTTGACTTTCTTCAAGTGTGCAATCTCGCTCTTCAGGTCGTTTCGCTCGTCTTCTAAAGCTTCATTGCGTGTCTCCAAGTGAGAAATCCTGTTGTTTGCTGCCAACAAATCCATCTGAAGTTTTTCAACGTCTTTCTTCGCCCCTTGATAATAATTCTTGTATTCGGTAGTCGACGCTCGGCATGCTGCAATCTCTTGTGATAGCTTGTCGTTGTCTCGACGCACTGACCTCAAGGTGTTTTCCAAATTGTTAATTTTAGAGTCTTTCTCTCGAATGACAACGTTAAGTTCCGTGATTTCCTGATATCCTTTGTCGAAGTCTTGTTTAAAATGGTCGATCTTCGTCCTCAGTGAAGTAATTTCACCTTCCAGGGAGCTGTTTGCTGACTTCAAGAAGTCGATTTGCGCATTCTTATCCACTATTTCATTTCGTAGTGATTCCAAGGTGTTTTTGTAATCATTGTTTTTCCTTAGCAGGACATCATAATCTTCCTTCCTTCTCGCCATGTTGTCTCGAGCGTCATGTAACTCTGCCTTCATGTTAGCATTATCTTTCAACAGTTTCTGGATGTCTTCCTCTAAGTCAGCCATCTTGTTGCTGTAACTGATTAAATCGTTGTGCATTTCCTCGTTCTCAAGCAGGGTAGATTTCAGCCTCAATTCACAATCTGCCATCTGCTTCTTTAATGCAAACGCGTCGCTGTCACTCACATCTTTTTTTCTCAAGGCATCGTTGATGGAACCGTGCATGCTTGACAGTTCGTCACGTGCAACTTGTAAGTTTCTGTCCAAAGTCTTCCTCTCGTTCCTCAAATCTTGAATGAGGGCATCCTTTCCACCAACTTCCTTAGCGTGCTGGTCCCACAATGTCTGATACTCAACCAGCTTTCTTTGCACTCGGAGAAGCTCTTCATCGTTCTTGCTAAGCTTGGAAAGCTCGCCCTCTTTCTCAAGTTCCATTTTGGACCTCGCTTTTTGTTCTTTATCCAGTAGCAACTCCAGTTGGGTGATCTTTGTGTTTGCCTCATTTAGATCGCGATTCAAAGCATCTATTTCATTCATCGCGTTCTCGTAGCCCTCCTTCAAAGGCGCTAACTCTTTCTGTGTGGCGTATAAGTCGTGCTCTAGTTCTACCTTCTTTTCTTGCAGGGTTTCTCTGCTCGACTCCAGTCTTGACAACTGTGAATGAACAGCAAGCAACTTCTCTTGGAGATCCTTCTCACGGTCATTACTTCCTCTAAGAGCAACTTCAGTTTCTGTGAGCTTTCGTTTCGTGACAGCCAAATCTTCTTCAAGAAACCTTCGTTCTTCGTCGGAACCGAAAGGATTGCTTTCCAGTGTCTCGATTCTTTGAACAGCAATATTGTATGATTCTTCAACCTCTTTCTTTTTTGTTGTCAAGTTACCGTGGTCGACATCTTTGCGTCGAAGAATCCTCTTGGTTTCTTCTAGTTCATCCTCTATTATAGCTTTTCTTTGCTTCAGATCTTCTATCTGCCTGTTTTTGCTCTCTACATCCGCGGTAAGGGTGTCAATAGTTGCCTTGAGTGATGAGATCTCGTTTTCCAAGGAAATGTTTTCTTCTCGGTATCGTGCTGACGAGTCTTTCCACTCTTCTAACTTGTCTTTAAGAGAATCTTTTTCTCTGTTAGAATCAGCCAATTGTTGTTCAAGATTTGAAATTTTCATAACAGTTGCGCGGGTTTCCTCTTGAACGCGATCTCGTTCGTAAGCTGTTTTCTGTATGCGGCCCTCAGCGTCTTGAACACCACCTTGCAGTCGTAGAATCTCTTTCTGTAGGTGTTCTTGTTCCTGCTTCAGTCGCTGACAATCTTCTCGGCTGCTGTTCAAGCTTCCTTTTAGCGACTGAACCTGTTCTTCGAGATACTTTTTGCTTGCCTTAAGTTGATCGATGTGATCTTCCTTTTGGGCGATGTCTTTGTTGAGTATATCCACAGTTAGTTTTTGCTCGATAAGCTGCTGTTCAACCTTAAGAACCTCCTCGCGATTAGCTGCCGATCTGTTGTTGGCATCTTCCAGCTGTGCCTGAAGAGAAAGCTTCTCACGGTACTCATGCTCAAACTTCACTTCCAAATCCGACACTTTGCCACTGGCGGTCATGAGTTCATCTTTCAGTGCTTTCTTCTCGCGGTCAGCCCTGTTTCTGCTCTCTTCTGTATCGTGAATTTTTCTGTTTAGCATGTTGATCTCGTGTTGTAGTTCGATACTCTGTTGCTGAACCCTTTTGAATTCGCCCTCTGCTTTGTTTACTCTCGCCTTCTGCAATTGCAGCTCTTGTTTTAAAGAATTCTCTCGATCTTGGGTTTGCCTCAACATGGCTTCCACCTCATGATATTTATCCTCGCTTGGGACGATACTCTTATCCCTGTCTTCCTTTTCTTTTTCCAGCGTGGACAAGGTAATTTCCATCTTGGATATTTCAATGTTTGAGTTTTGGATCTGTTCAGTGAGATTTGTCACATTGTCTTCCAAATTTTCGTTCCTCCACTTGTAAGTTTCAAGATCTTTCTTGGCCTGTAGCAACTCGTTCTCAAGTCCAGCTTTTGTCGTTCTCAACCTGTCAAGTGCGTTTTCTTTGTCGCGAAGATCTTTCTTTAGGCCTTCCAGTGCTCTTTCCTTTTCCCGAACCTGGTTCTGTATGTTCAGCATTTCCTCTTTCACTTTTCTGTTGGCGGCCAGTTGCTTGTCGTACTCGTTCTTGAAATGATCTTTGTCTTTAGTGGTGTTGATAAGCTGCGTCTCCATAGACGTAATCTTGAAAGTGTAGGTGCTGATCTCTTGCTCCAAAGCGCCTCGCCCATCCCTGTGGTTATTCAGTTCCTTTTCCAAATTGTCGACGCGGCCTTGAGCGGAAGCCAGTCTTCTTTCCAAATCTTTCTTTTCAGCGTCCAACCCCTCGCAGTTTACCCTGGCAGTGATCAGATCTTGTTTAGTGTTATCGAAATCTCTTTCCAGTTGTCTAAGCTCGCTGTTAAGATCTTCAATACCTTTGTCTTTCTTTCCGACCACCTTGTTCATAGTTTCGTTGATCTTCTTGTTCTCCAGCACCTGACTTTCGAGGATCATGATCTGTTCTTGGCACTGAATCAGCTTGCCGTTCACTTCGTCCAGCTGATCTTTCAACTGTAGCTTTTGCCGCTGGAGAATTTCCGCCTGGGACTCGAGTTTATTTGCCCGGGTTCTTGCGTTATAAAGGTCTTCTTCTGCTTTATCTTTAAGCCTCATGGCAGTTGTCACTTCGTTGTCCATCTCTTTTAACTTTTGGTCCACAGAGGTAAGCCTCTGGCTCAAGTCGGTATTATCGTGCGTCAGTCTTTCGATCTCTTGGTTCTGTATACCTATCCTTCCTTCTGCCTCATCTAACTCTTCTTCTAGTTCTTGGTTGTCTTTCGTTACCGCTTGCAATTCTGCTTCAGTCTCCGCGATCTTCTTACGGTAAGCATACAAATCTCGCTCCAGTTCTCCATTTCTGTTGCGCTCAATCTCCAGCTCACGTCGCGCGTTCTTGTCAATGTCTTTCTTGTAGGTTGCTTCCAGGGTATTCATCTTCTTGACTACAATGCTGTGATCGACTTCAAGTTGGTCACCTCTTCTTTTGGCTGAATCGTGCAATGAATTAACTCTGGTTAACTCCTCGCTTAACGCTGTGACTTGTTCTAGAAGTCGCCGCTTATCACTTTCCACGTCGTCCACGAGCGACTTGTTGTAGTTGAGCTCTCCTTTGAGATCATCGTAATCTTTCGTCAGGAAAAGGACTTGCTCGCGAAGCTGCTCAATAGTGGATTCCTTGTCTGCTCCGTCACGGCGATAATCATCCATCATGCTTTGCACCTCTACTAACTGCGTCTTGACAATGTCCGCTTCCTCGACATTCTTGCGGTTGTTTCCGGTGTAGTTAGCAAGCTCGGTCTCCAACCAGTTCTTCTCTTTGAGTGCCTCGGCCAAGTCAGCCTCTAAGCGTTCCACCTTTTTGGTAAGCATCAAAACTTGTTGATGGTTTTCCATTCGCTCTTGATCACACACCTTGTAAGAGGCCTGAAGCTCAGATGACTTCTTGTAATACTCTTGAAGCTCGTCGTTCAGGCGATCTTTATCTTCATTGGCCAGACCCAAATCAGCCTCGACCTCGCGGAGGGCTTTTTGGAACTGTAGCGTTTCCCCGTGGAGACTTTTCTTCTCTTCTTCAAGGATTTCCATGTGCGTTTGAAGCTTGTTGATTTCTTCGTACAATGGCTCGCTCTTTCCTTCCATGGCTGCTATGTTGGCTCTGAGATCGTCTATTGTCCGATCTTTGGAGGCCGCCTCTCTCTTATACCACTCTGAAGTCCGCTGAAACTCAGCCGCGGATGCTTGAGATGTGACCAGATCTTTGCGCAGTCTGGCAATTTTGCTCTTTTCTTCGTCAAGCTCTGACTTCAACTGGGCTTTGCTCTTGCTAATATTGTCCAGTTGACTGCCTAGCTTCGACAAATGGGTCTTCATTCCGGCAGTGGAAACTTCAAGCTCCTCGTTCTCCTGTTCGTTTCGCTGCAAGGATGCTCGTAGTTCAGAAATTCTTCGCTCTGAATGTCCCAGCTGACTCTTCAAGTCTTCATTTTCTCGCCCGAGGAGATCCACCTGAGATTCTAATTCTGCGACGCGCTCATTCGCCCGTTCGCACCGGTTCTGGAGATCCTGTGCTTCCGCCATGGACTCCTGACAATTTGTTTCCAGCTGGACATTCTTGTTTTGGAGGGAAAACAAATTAGTCTCCAGGTCACCGATTCGCTGACGAAGACGGTTGACGTGTTGTTCATTTTCACTGGCTTTCTCATTGGCCTTTTCACAGTTATTTTCTAAAGTGGGGATGCGCGCTTTCACCAGAGCCAGCTCTTTCTCCATTTCATCTCTTTGTGTCGACAAACCCTCATTAGCTTCCACTAGATCATTAATTTTCCACTCAGCCTCGTGAAGGTCACGCTCCAGAGCTTCTTTCTGCCTATCATAGATGTCAGAGGAGAGTTGATTCTTTGAGAAGTCTTGCTTTAGGGCGTCTAGTTTCCCCTGAAGAGCCTTATTGGAATTCTCCAGTTTCTGTAGCTGATTGTTCTTTGCGGTGAATTCTTCGCGGTAGATGTCTGCCTTCTTTTGGCTCTCCAAGAAATCGCGCTGCAGGAGATTATACGCCTCCTTACCCTTCTTGTAGTCTTCTCTCAGCCCTTCCAACTGGTTCTTAAAGTTGTCCCTCTGTCGGACAGAATTTTGCATCTGCGCTTCGAGTTTGGACGCCTTCATCGAGTTGATCTTGAGCTCTTTTTGCATTTCCCTCTGAGTTTTGTCGTGATCTGCTTGCAAATCATTCAGCTTATTCTGGAGAGACAACATTTCTTCCTGTAAATCTTCCTTTTCTTTGTGAATGAATTTATAGCTTGTTTCCCATTCCGTAATCTCCTGTCGTACAGCCACGAGTTCGTCGCTCTCATCTTTCCTTCCTCCAGACGACGGCACCAGCGCTTGGCTGGAGGACAGTTCTCGCCTCAGATCGTCGTTTTCCTTTTCAAGAGAAGCTTTCTCCTCTCGCAGTTTTCGAATAATTTCTCTTTGCAAGTCGAAATCCTTTTGCAATGCATCGTACTCCCATTCCTTCTCGGTCAACTTTCGCTGAACGCGGATTAGCTCGTCCTGGTGTTTTTTCGCGTCAGTGCGAGAATCTTTCAACTGTTCCTGCAGATGAGCTTTCTGTTTTTGAAGATTGTCGATTTGTGAACGTAACTTATCGACCTAAAAAGCAAGGGATTGTTTCGTTTATTTGCTGTTTTCTTTTTTTTTTTTCGCTTTGTTTCCGCATGGCTATAAACTAATTATTATGCAAAGTAGAAATTGTTTGCATAGCGAAACCGATTAAACCCCTCAGTTGTTTTACAATAAGTCAGGCACTAACGTTTTGATTTTCGTTCTCGCAGTAAACGAAAGGGCAATAAAACAAACTGAGTAAAATCTAACGCAAGTAAATTGTAGTTACAAAGCCAGAAACTTGGCAGGAAGCCGTTTCGTTTTCAGCCGGTGTGTCTCTCTATGCAGGCAGCCAAAAACATAATTAGTTTAGATCTGCAAAGTGCCAACGTTCAAGACCTCATTTACCTGGACTAAATCAACATCATAACGCCTTAGGGAAGATTATTTACAGTGCAAAGTTGGTGCGAAAAGTACCGCACATATAACTAAAGGTGTTTCACCTTGAATGCGCCTTAAAGCATGAGAAATCTTTGTTTTTTTAGATTTCTATAGATCCGTAGGTGGCGGAGATTTCGAGTTGCGCGTCTATGCAAATTTCTTCAATCCAAAATAAACTAGATCGAAATAAACCAAAATCAAACCTCATTTCGATGCTCCTCTTTCACGTTTTCCAGTTCCAACTTGAACTTTCGATAAGCAGTTTCCAAGTCGCTGAACGTTTCTCTGGCTGTAGCAAGCTGTTTCATGGTAACATCTTCGCCCAAGACTGCCAAAGGTTCACTATTCGTGTTGTAAGAGGATGACACTGAACTGTAACTTTCCACCATAGACATAGTCCTGCGACTCGTAGTCTCACTCGTGACAACACGATTCTCCATGTTTTTTTTTCCTTCACGGAGGTGAAAGTCCGCGAGTGCGAGTAAACGATATTTGGCACACCTTCTTTCACTCTCGCGAGCGAGCGAAATGAAGATTGTGTGTGTATTCTAGTGTAAGAACCGATTTCTCATAAACTTTACGTCCCTTGAGGTCTACCAGTTGAATTACCAGCTGTTAAAATTTTTATGAAGAGCCAATCGGATTTGTCCTTGCTGGCGTTGTACAATGGCGTTTCAGGTAGTTTTTGTGTTTTAGAAAGAAGCCCGCCCTCCTGCAGCACAACAAACGCCAAGAGATCTGGATTTGTCATAATAGGTTATTTTGGCGGCCGAGTTTTTGCTTATAAAATATGAATGATGTATACAGAGATCCGGCCGACATGTCTGAGGGAAAAAAAGCAACAGTTTAAGTGAAGTGTAAAAGTGCGGTTTGCAAGGCAATATATCTTCGTGTACGGCCTTTCGTGTACATTTCAGTTACGGTCCGTGCGTTGTTTTCAAGGAGAACATTTTCATTACAATGAGCGCCTATAGTGACATTTAAACGACCCACCGCATTAAGACAAAACTAAAAACTTCAGATGTAATGATAAAATAAAGCAATTTCTAGAAGTCGGTTTGACATCGTTACATCATGATGTCAAAGACGCTATTATAGTTGAGATCGTTGTTACTATAAAAAGCGAATTAGCCGCGTGAAATAACGGAGTAAAATTAATGGCCATCATTCTTAACTTATAAACAAAGCAATTCCTAGAGGTACCCGTTAATCATATTCTGTTTACGAGATGTATTGCTGAAAAGAACCGAGACACAAAGGAAATAAAAGATGCCGAAATGATTAAGTGATTTTCTCTGTTCAGAACTAACCTCCGTATTTGTCGCATAAGCATGTACTGACAGTACAGAGCGTTATCCGAATACGTACTCGAATGATTATAGCTTATAAAACAGTACAGTAACACAATTATTGGTTTAATTTATTGAAACCAATGTTTTTGTGTTTAAGACCCTCAATAAGTAATTAGCCTTTTTCTCGAGCAAATTCTTTAATGAGCGATTTTGGGCAAATTTCCCATCATTCTGCAACGGAACTAACAACATAAACATTAGAATCGGGAAACTTTGCGGGCTTTCTTGTTTCTGCTTGAAATATGTACACTACTGTGAGCAACTGAAGGGCTTCTTAAAGAATGCCAACAATGATAAACATCCAAACTCGCCAATTACTTTATAATGGATGCAGTGTTTTGTTGGATGTCCGTTGAGCAATATCGGCGTGTGACAAAGTACCGGCAAAGTGTAATCACAAATTCATCGGCGACTTTTCTATATTTTCAGATGACGTTTGATTTCGCAATTCAGTACGATTCACAGTGCGAGTGAATTTCAAGTTTACCAAGCCATTTAAGATTTCCAGGCAAAATCATTAAAAGCTGAGTTATGAAATCGTTTGATAATTACAGGATCCGTCGAGTTTCACACTCTTAAAACTGCGAGTTTAACGTTAAAATCCCCGTGGGATCAACTCGTGTGAATGCCAGAGATACATTTCTCCCAGTCAGAAAGTTCAAACTACTTGACAACCGTAAAACTGAAATGAAAAGCAACGAAAAAATGTTGCGTGATATTAGTCTGCAAAGTTTATAACCTTGCACAGCAGTACCTCCAGCCGCTTTGTCTGTACTTTATTCGTCTGAACTCAAGACACAAACTCTATGCTACATTGTTGTTAAGAGAGATTCCTGTAGCGTGTTCTTTAATACTCGTGTGACAAAAACGCGAATATTCGTGGAGTAAATTTTAAGTAATGTAATAATCTCTATGACCTCGGTTACCCTTTCAGTTTTGTGCTTGAAATATCAACTTTTTCTCTTCATTTTAATTTATTCGCATATATCTGTTTTTACGTTGCTTCTAAGTATTTGATGATACATGTAGACTTTATTGAGTAAATGTAATGTACACAGTAAACACCATTCCTTGTATGCTAAAACACTACAATTTACCTGACTTTACGCAGACTACGCACGGACGTACCCGAATTCGCAATTAGCCAATCACAAACCGGGTCTACTGCCCGAATATCGTGCGATCAACCTCGTTCCCAGGGTCTTTTCCCCCGCCCCACCCCCAAGCAAGGGAAAAGACCCTGGAAACGAGGTTGTCGTGCGATATCAATTCACTGACCTGACATGGCCGGACTCACGGCCACATTTGGACGCAGTAAATTCCTAATCGCACCTTTCTGGTATGATTCGTTGGCAAACAGTCTATTTTTTTTTTTTTTNTTGCCGTTCACTTCGTCCAGCTGATCTTTCAACTGTAGCTTTTGCCGCTGGAGAATTTCCGCCTGGGACTCGAGTTTATTTGCCCGGGTTCTTGCGTTATAAAGGTCTTCTTCTGCTTTATCTTTAAGCCTCATGGCAGTTGTCACTTCGTTGTCCATCTCTTTTAACTTTTGGTCCACAGAGGTAAGCCTCTGGCTCAAGTCGGTATTATCGTGCGTCAGTCTTTCGATCTCTTGGTTCTGTATACCTATCCTTCCTTCTGCCTCATCTAACTCTTCTTCTAGTTCTTGGTTGTCTTTCGTTACCGCTTGCAATTCTGCTTCAGTCTCCGCGATCTTCTTACGGTAAGCATACAAATCTCGCTCCAGTTCTCCATTTCTGTTGCGCTCAATCTCCAGCTCACGTCGCGCGTTCTTGTCAATGTCTTTCTTGTAGGTTGCTTCCAGGGTATTCATCTTCTTGACTACAATGCTGTGATCGACTTCAAGTTGGTCACCTCTTCTTTTGGCTGAATCGTGCAATGAATTAACTCTGGTTAACTCCTCGCTTAACGCTGTGACTTGTTCTAGAAGTCGCCGCTTATCACTTTCCACGTCGTCCACGAGCGACTTGTTGTAGTTGAGCTCTCCTTTGAGATCATCGTAATCTTTCGTCAGGAAAAGGACTTGCTCGCGAAGCTGCTCAATAGTGGATTCCTTGTCTGCTCCGTCACGGCGATAATCATCCATCATGCTTTGCACCTCTACTAACTGCGTCTTGACAATGTCCGCTTCCTCGACATTCTTGCGGTTGTTTCCGGTGTAGTTAGCAAGCTCGGTCTCCAACCAGTTCTTCTCTTTGAGTGCCTCGGCCAAGTCAGCCTCTAAGCGTTCCACCTTTTTGGTAAGCATCAAAACTTGTTGATGGTTTTCCATTCGCTCTTGATCACACACCTTGTAAGAGGCCTGAAGCTCAGATGACTTCTTGTAATACTCTTGAAGCTCGTCGTTCAGGCGATCTTTATCTTCATTGGCCAGACCCAAATCAGCCTCGACCTCGCGGAGGGCTTTTTGGAACTGTAGCGTTTCCCCGTGGAGACTTTTCTTCTCTTCTTCAAGGATTTCCATGTGCGTTTGAAGCTTGTTGATTTCTTCGTACAATGGCTCGCTCTTTCCTTCCATGGCTGCTATGTTGGCTCTGAGATCGTCTATTGTCCGATCTTTGGAGGCCGCCTCTCTCTTATACCACTCTGAAGTCCGCTGAAACTCAGCCGCGGATGCTTGAGATGTGACCAGATCTTTGCGCAGTCTGGCAATTTTGCTCTTTTCTTCGTCAAGCTCTGACTTCAACTGGGCTTTGCTCTTGCTAATATTGTCCAGTTGACTGCCTAGCTTCGACAAATGGGTCTTCATTCCGGCAGTGGAAACTTCAAGCTCCTCGTTCTCCTGTTCGTTTCGCTGCAAGGATGCTCGTAGTTCAGAAATTCTTCGCTCTGAATGTCCCAGCTGACTCTTCAAGTCTTCATTTTCTCGCCCGAGGAGATCCACCTGAGATTCTAATTCTGCGACGCGCTCATTCGCCCGTTCGCACCGGTTCTGGAGATCCTGTGCTTCCGCCATGGACTCCTGACAATTTGCTTCCAGCTGGACATTCTTGTTTTGGAGGGAAAACAAATTAGTCTCCAGGTCACCGATTCGCTGACGAAGACGGTTGACGTGTTGTTCATTTTCACTGGCTTTCTCATTGGCCTTTTCACAGTTATTTTCTAAAGTGGGGATGCGCGCTTTCACCAGAGCCAGCTCTTTCTCCATTTCATCTCTTTGTGTCGACAAACCCTCATTAGCTTCCACTAGATCATTAATTTTCCACTCAGCCTCGTGAAGGTCACGCTCCAGAGCTTCTTTCTGCCTATCATAGATGTCAGAGGAGAGTTGATTCTTTGAGAAGTCTTGCTTTAGGGCGTCTAGTTTCCCCTGAAGAGCCTTATTGGAATTCTCCAGTTTCTGTAGCTGATTGTTCTTTGCGGTGAATTCTTCGCGGTAGATGTCTGCCTTCTTTTGGCTCTCCAAGAAATCGCGCTGCAGGAGATTATACGCCTCCTTACCCTTCTTGTAGTCTTCTCTCAGCCCTTCCAACTGGTTCTTAAAGTTGTCCCTCTGTCGGACAGAATTTTGCATCTGCGCTTCGAGTTTGGACGCCTTCATCGAGTTGATCTTGAGCTCTTTTTGCATTTCCCTCTGAGTTTTGTCGTGATCTGCTTGCAAATCATTCAGCTTATTCTGGAGAGACAACATTTCTTCCTGTAAATCTTCCTTTTCTTTGTGAATGAATTTATAGCTTGTTTCCCATTCCGTAATCTCCTGTCGTACAGCCACGAGTTCGTCGCTCTCATCTTTCCTTCCTCCAGACGACGGCACCAGCGCTTGGCTGGAGGACAGTTCTCGCCTCAGATCGTCGTTTTCCTTTTCAAGAGAAGCTTTCTCCTCTCGCAGTTTTCGAATAATTTCTCTTTGCAAGTCGAAATCCTTTTGCAATGCATCGTACTCCCATTCCTTCTCGGTCAACTTTCGCTGAACGCGGATTAGCTCGTCCTGGTGTTTTTTCGCGTCAGTGCGAGAATCTTTCAACTGTTCCTGCAGATGAGCTTTCTGTTTTTGAAGATTGTCGATTTGTGAACGTAACTTATCGACCTAAAAAGCAAGGGATTGTTTCGTTTATTTGCTGTTTTCTTTTTTTTTTTTCGCTTTGTTTCCGCATGGCTATAAACTAATTATTATGCAAAGTAGAAATTGTTTGCATAGCGAAACCGATTAAACCCCTCAGTTGTTTTACAATAAGTCAGGCACTAACGTTTTGATTTTCGTTCTCGCAGTAAACGAAAGGGCAATAAAACAAACTGAGTAAAATCTAACGCAAGTAAATTGTAGTTACAAAGCCAGAAACTTGGCAGGAAGCCGTTTCGTTTTCAGCCGGTGTGTCTCTCTATGCAGGCAGCCAAAAACATAATTAGTTTAGATCTGCAAAGTGCCAACGTTCAAGACCTCATTTACCTGGACTAAATCAACATCATAACGCCTTAGGGAAGATTATTTACAGTGCAAAGTTGGTGCGAAAAGTACCGCACATATAACTAAAGGTGTTTCACCTTGAATGCGCCTTAAAGCATGAGAAATCTTTGTTTTTTTTAGATTTCTATAGATCCGTAGGTGGCGGAGATTTCGAGTTGCGCGTCTATGCAAATTTCTTCAATCCAAAATAAACTAGATCGAAATAAACCAAAATCAAACCTCATTTCGATGCTCCTCTTTCACGTTTTCCAGTTCCAACTTGAACTTTCGATAAGCAGTTTCCAAGTCGCTGAACGTTTCTCTGGCTGTAGCAAGCTGTTTCATGGTAACATCTTCGCCCAAGACTGCCAAAGGTTCACTATTCGTGTTGTAAGAGGATGACACTGAACTGTAACTTTCCACCATAGACATAGTCCTGCGACTCGTAGTCTCACTCGTGACAACACGATTCTCCATGTTTTTTTTTCCTTCACGGAGGTGAAAGTCCGCGAGTGCGAGTAAACGATATTTGGCACACCTTCTTTCACTCTCGCGAGCGAGCGAAATGAAGATTGTGTGTGTATTCTAGTGTAAGAACCGATTTCTCATAAACTTTACGTCCCTTGAGGTCTACCAGTTGAATTACCAGCTGTTAAAATTTTTATGAAGAGCCAATCGGATTTGTCCTTGCTGGCGTTGTACAATGGCGTTTCAGGTAGTTTTTGTGTTTTAGAAAGAAGCCCGCCCTCCTGCAGCACAACAAACGCCAAGAGATCTGGATTTGTCATAATAGGTTATTTTGGCGGCCGGGTTTTTGCTTATAAAATATGAATGATGTATACAGAGATCCGGCCGACATGTCTGAGGGAAAAAAAGCAACAGTTTAAGTGAAGTGTAAAAGTGCGGTTTGCAAGGCAATATATCTTCGTGTACGGCCTTTCGTGTACATTTCAGTTACGGTCCGTGCGTTGTTTTCAAGGAGAACATTTTCATTACAATGAGCGCCTATAGTGACATTTAAACGACCCACCGCATTAAGACAAAACTAAAAACTTCAGATGTAATGATAAAATAAAGCAATTTCTAGAAGTCGGTTTGACATCGTTACATCATGATGTCAAAGACGCTATTATAGTTGAGATCGTTGTTACTATAAAAAGCGAATTAGCCGCGTGAAATAACGGAGTAAAATTAATGGCCATCATTCTTAACTTATAAACAAAGCAATTCCTAGAGGTACCCGTTAATCATATTCTGTTTACGAGATGTATTGCTGAAAAGAACCGAGACACAAAGGAAATAAAAGATGCCGAAATGATTAAGTGATTTTCTCTGTTCAGAACTAACCTCCGTATTTGTCGCATAAGCATGTACTGACAGTACAGAGCGTTATCCGAATACGTACTCGAATGATTATAGCTTATAAAACAGTACAGTAACACAATTATTGGTTTAATTTATTGAAACCAATGTTTTTGTGTTTAAGACCCTCAATAAGTAATTAGCCTTTTTCTCGAGCAAATTCTTTAATGAGCGATTTTGGGCAAATTTCCCATCATTCTGCAACGGAACTAACAACATAAACATTAGAATCGGGAAACTTTGCGGGCTTTCTTGTTTCTGCTTGAAATATGTACACTACTGTGAGCAACTGAAGGGCTTCTTAAAGAATGCCAACAATGATAAACATCCAAACTCGCCAATTACTTTATAATGGATGCAGTGTTTTGTTGGATGTCCGTTGAGCAATATCGGCGTGTGACAAAGTACCGGCAAAGTGTAATCACAAATTCATCGGCGACTTTTCTATATTTTCAGATGACGTTTGATTTCGCAATTCAGTACGATTCACAGTGCGAGTGAATTTCAAGTTTACCAAGCCATTTAAGATTTCCAGGCAAAATCATTAAAAGCTGAGTTATGAAATCGTTTGATAATTACAGGATCCGTCGAGTTTCACACTCTTAAAACTGCGAGTTTAACGTTAAAATCCCCGTGGGATCAACTCGTGTGAATGCCAGAGATACATTTCTCCCAGTCAGAAAGTTCAAACTACTTGACAACCGTAAAACTGAAATGAAAAGCAACGAAAAAATGTTGCGTGATATTAGTCTGCAAAGTTTATAACCTTGCACAGCAGTACCTCCAGCCGCTTTGTCTGTACTTTATTCGTCTGAACTCAAGACACAAACTCTATGCTACATTGTTGTTAAGAGAGATTCCTGTAGCGTGTTCTTTAATACTCGTGTGACAAAAACGCGAATATTCGTGGAGTAAATTTTAAGTAATGTAATAATCTCTATGACCTCGGTTACCCTTTCAGTTTTGTGCTTGAAATATCAACTTTTTCTCTTCATTTTAATTTATTCGCATATATCTGTTTTTACGTTGCTTCTAAGTATTTGATGATACATGTAGACTTTATTGAGTAAATGTAATGTACACAGTAAACACCATTCCTTGTATGCTAAAACACTACAATTTACCTGACTTTACGCAGACTACGCACGGACGTACCCGAATTCGCAATTAGCCAATCACAAACCGGGTCTACTGCCCGAATATCGTGCGATCAACCTCGTTCCCAGGGTCTTTTCCCCCGCCCCACCCCCAAGCAAGGGAAAAGACCCTGGAAACGAGGTTGTCGTGCGATATCAATTCACTGACCTGACATGGCCGGACTCACGGCCACATTTGGACGCAGTAAATTCCTAATCGCACCTTTCTGGTATGATTCGTTGGCAAACAGTCTATTTTTTTTTTTTTTCGTATCGGCACAGTCTACTTTGTATTCCTTTAACGTATCTAAGAATATTCACAAGAATATTTTAATTCAGCCTAAAACCAGGTGAAAAATTAGAAAATTCAGCCTCGGGGGAAAAAAAACAATATTCATTCTCGTTTGTTTCTCATGGGTGTTTTGGCTCCTCTGGCTCGGTCAAGCTGCCTCGAAAACTTACGAGAAAGGTGCGATTACGGCCTCAACAGAAAACCAGCCAGCTAGTTTACAAAACGACATGTGGTTAGATCCATATACAATTTTGCTGATTCAACATAAAAAGAATAGTCCAAATCGTCCACTAATCGATTATTTTCTATTATTCTCAACACGTCTGTGCCTAACAATGTATTTGTATTGTAGGGAGACAATAAGACTTCATCACTTGTAATTTTAGATGTAAGTAAGTTAAAGAATTCTGATATGAGTATGACTTTTATCATAATGCCGTTTTTAGTTAACCATCTTCAATCTAAAATCTGGGAAAGTCTAATTAAGACAACAAGGCACCTCATGTAGCCTGCATGCAAAAGTCTTCTTTTATCCTTGACTTCGGGCACGAGAAAGCGTCCCACAATTTTCCGACGCAAGAAGGATAACAGACAGGCGTCTCTATATTCGTGTTAATATCGTGTATAAAAGATATCTGGATCTTTAAACCTAAAGAAAAGTAAGGAAACTGAAAAGAAAAACTAAAATCAGATGTTCTTCATGACACTAAAGCTGGGCAAAGAAAATGCCTCTCTTCAGATACACAAGATTGTTCATAAATTGAAATATTCTAAGTAAGGGACCGTTCATTTTTTATCAGGTAGGGGGGGCTGGTGGGATTTGGGGGGGGGGCCATGCGAAAAAAATGGCTTTCGAGGGGGGGCCATCCCAAA